CACATTAACTATTCAACAGATATTACCCCACTTAGATTGGTTTGCCTACGCGGTTAGTTAATTTTCCTGTTTTATTATCTCTTTCGGTAAACCTAGTCATTTGCCTATTACCTTAACTTTAATATCTTGCACGTTATTTTTTAATCTCGAAAGGGCTAAGGAAGAAACTAGCTATTTCAAGTAATGAATTGAGCAGGCCGATTATGTCGTATTCTTTGATATTCCTTTCCTACATGTTTACTTGTATATTTTTTATAATTATTTGAAATCTATCTCTTAGCCAGATTTCTAAGATTTCTAACTTGCCTACGCCCCAGCTAATAGTATATACTTTACTATCCAGAATATCAGCTATGTCTCATAGCGTAATGATGTGATTACCTCTGCTTATGAGGTAAATAAAGATTCCCTTATCCTTTTGATTTGGTTCTAAACATATAATGGCATTTTTTTATTTTAATACAGCCCTACTTTAACCAAACCATTTAACATCTGATTAAGTCCTTCACTGATATGATAGGTTAATTAACAATGGAAAACAAAAATACAGTATTTAAGAATTATATTCCCAGTTTAAACGATAAGAAAGGTGCTAAGAGTCTGTTTTAGGCGGGATACAAAGCCTCGGGATTTCTCGCCTAATCGGCCCACAAATATAATCCTTTTGACTAGGCTTCATTTTATTTAATTTAATCGTTTTATTCTACGAGATTTTTTGCATTAGTGCCAATTTTTAAGGACCAAATCGAATATGATATATTTTATTTGGAACCATTAATCTTCCGTACCACATTATTTGGTCCACAGTGAGAATCAGATTCTTTGCGAGGAGTTACGGATCGCTGCCTCAGCCCGACACGCCTTGCGCTCTGAGGCTAACCGACTGGCTCGCGCCGTCAACTCCTGCCGCGATGAGATCGCTCGGCTACGTGCCCGCCTCCAGCTGTACACGAATGAGGCTGACTTGGGCGCATGTGTCGTACTTGCACCTAAATCTGTTGATTATTCCATCTCTGCTGCTCCTCCTACTGCTGCGAACTCAGTTCCTTCCGCAACTGTGTATAGGGAAGAGACCGTATCGTCCGGATGGAGGCTAAGTGTAGCTGAAAAAGGGAACTTCAAAACAAGGATTCGGAAAAAACGATCACATTCTTGTGACTCTGAGTTGCAGATATTGAATAGAGTTAATGTGGAAACAGATACTCACTTTTGTCGTACACGAGACGACAAAAGAGACCTTGCGAACAGAGAAGTAAAGCCATATAAGGAGGGTGAAGAGGGCGAGAATAAAAAAATAAATGGTATAAATATTAACAACATGCAAGATGTCTCTCATATGGATGACGGAACTGGAAAGCATCCGAGCCCAGAAAAATTCTCTTTAAGTAGTTTTAATAGCCCTGAAAGCGACTCCAACAATCAAAGCAAGCTTTGCAGCGATAACATGATGACGGACTCACAATATCACACGTCTACACTATCAAAGTCTTTGTTGAGCAACCAAGATCCGGAAAGATGTGCTAAAATGAACGGCACTCAGGACGCTTTCTTGCCTAAGGCAACTCCGACGAACACTGAACGGGTGGGTTCTTTTCCGATTTAGGCCTCTAAATGGCCCATTACTCTGCCAAGATAGAACGATCGTCCCTGTGGTTGAGATTTGCCGACCCATATGTCAGGCATTGTATGGACTTGAAACCGCAGGTACAGGTCTAAAACCAAAAGTAGCTGAACATATGGCAATAAGAGAAGATAACATTGAGTGGTTTATAATCCAGTCGTATATAGTATCTAGGCCAACGGTTGTGTCCAAGATAAGGGAATCACTAAAAATTAATCAAGTATTCAACAGCCTAAAAGAAAGAACGTGTGTCGAAAATTTGGCACAATTGATCTCTGGCTGTTAGATATGGGTAAGAGTGGGAGCGAAGTGAACCACATAGTAAAACGTTGAGGCCTGCTTAGCCTAGAGTTTTGTTAGGTTCTCGATTCAACCATCCAACAGAACGTACATTAACCCCGTAAAATTACACTAAAGGTGTTTTTAGAAAAGGAAACAATGTTCAGCCACATCTACCCTAGTCTTATCCATCTCTAAGGATGCTACTGTAGACATGAATTAGCCTAGCAAATCATAAAATGCCTATTGCAGATCGAAAAATGAGGTTCTAAGAAATAGGGAGCTTTTTAGTCAGCCGTCATTTTTGGTTAAGTGTTTTGTAAGTTTGTCTATGAAATATTTTTATGCTTTATGGTTTTCTATCACGGCGGATAAACAAAAGTTCTTAATGCACGGATCGGGGTTGCACTACGGTGATGACTACATAAAATACCGTTTATTTACCCTCTATTAATTATTATTTATCTAGCATTCATGTATTTATTTAAACGGCTCTTGGGTTTGCTATTGTTGCTATT